GAAAATAATTTATGTGTTAAAAGGAAAAACACAGAACAGAGTGTCACATGCCATAGTAAGAAATACACCTCAACATGATCAGCATGCCCATTTATTGCATAGAAGGCTTGGTCATGTAAATTTCAGAACATTACAGCAAATGGAAAGCTTAGCTAAAGGTGTAAAAATGAAGCCTTGTAAAACTTATTTAGACTGCCATGTGTGTAAGCTTGCAAAACCAAAGTTCAAAAAGTAAGGAATGCACCAGTCAGACACAAAGACCATTTCAGTTGGTTCACGCTGACATAATTGGGAAGAGCATTTAGAGCACGCCAGGTTCTAGAGGAGCTAAGAAAGGCAGGATTAACCGCCAATCCTAAGAAATGCAGAATGACCCTCCCAAAGGTAGAATATCTAGGCTTCACCGTAGGAGGTGGAGAAATTCAGCCTCAAGAAGGAAAAGTCACTAAGATAACAGAGTGGTACTGACCATGCACTAAAAAGGAATTTTTAGGGTTGGTTGGGTATTACCGTCAATTTGTGCCATGATTCTCCACCATAGCAGCCCCCCTAACTGATATTACACAAAAGAAGGCAGGGTGATGGGTGCAATGGGGAAGGGTCCAAGAAGAAGCCTTACAAATGCTTAAATCAGTGTTGTGTGAATTACCAACCAGGTTTGCCCCTGACTTTAATCTACCTTTCGTCGTGTTCACATGTTTCAGACCAAGCGATAGTGCCGTATTAGCACAAGTGTGGAACAGGGTAGAGTACCCGGTCCTCTATTTAAATAGGAAGCTAACCACAAGGGAAAAAAATACACTGTCATTGAAAAGGAGGCTCTGGCGATAAGGTGGGCCACCCATGCCTTAAGGTACTATTTGCTGGGTGCTCCCTTCACACTCATTACAGACTATGCACTGTTACAGTGGTTAGTCCAAATGAAGGACACTAACCCTAGACTAACACGTTGGTATTTGGTTCTACAGCCATTTGCCTTCACTGTGCAGTACCAGAAGGGGAAGGAACATGCTAACGTAGACTATTTCTCCCAGCAGGGTCCCTTGGCAAAGAGCGAGGAGGAATGGACGGTCCTCTCAGATGGGGGGGCATGTGAGACCGGAGGCGAGAGCACTACCAGTCTTGCTGGAGTGCTATCCCTCTCTCTCACTGCCGAGATTTAGACACTGCCTGTCTCACTGCCTAAGAAAGCAGAGCCGCCAGAGACACACCTGGGGAGTAGAGGAGATGCGGAAGTGGACAGTCAGAAGAACCAGGGAAGAAACAGCGGGAAGAGTGGAAGCCAACAGTAGAGATAGAGGCGGGGGTGCCAGATATAAAAGGAAGAGGAGGGCAGTTGCCGCCAGGTTGGGGAGTGGGTCTGGATGCAAGACCCATTGACTGGCATCTGGGAGTTTAAGAGTCCTGAAAGAGTTGGTGGATTATCAGACAGAGGGAGACCCCACCGAGACCCTCATATTGGGGAGACGCTGAGGCGAGAGAGTGAAGGTTGAGAGACATGAAAGACTGGAATGGAGGGTGAGGGAAATGCATAGGAGGGGATACCCGGAGGACCCTGGCAGATCTCCGCTACAACCCAGGACACCCTCTGGTTGGACACCCGGGACGATGACACAGTCGCCTTACTGGAAGGAGAAACAAGACCGGTACTGAACTTCTTTGGACTGGTCAGGCCCTTGCCGACCTGCTGTTGGAAGGAGACAAACATTGGACTGCTTTTGCTGATACTGGTTTCTTGTTAAACACACAAATAAATGTTACCCCTGTTTCAAAACCACAGAAGTCTGCTGATTTAATTGAAGAAAAAAAAAGAGTTGAAGACTGGACCCTCACACCTTTCCTAATTCCTTCATTACTGCCCTTCTGAGTCTCAAGTCTTCTGATTTCTTGCATGGAAAGATTTCTGCCAACTGTTTTCTTCATAGCAGTAAGACTTTTGTGTTTTATAGCTCTAAAGAATTTTGTGCATATGGTACAAAGAAGCATTTAGATAAAGCTTGTAGAATTAGACAAGCTGATTGGAATTATTGCAACAATTAAAAGCTTTATACCTTGGTATTAAGACGGAAGTTGATATAATTATTGTTTGCTTGGTTTCATTCTGGAATTAACCCTTTATTGGGATAAATGCCAGCTATGACAAACACAGGCTTCTGATTTTCCCCCAGGAGGCCAATAAAAATATGTAGAACTCCTAGAGAGAGTTAAGCATCATTTTAACGATTTGACAGGCTGACCTACCTTCCCCTTCCTATATGTGTCTATTTTGATTTTTCAGGTCCTCTCTGAGCCTTGTGTGAATAAGAAGCTTTACCATAAAAATTAATTCATGTAAAATAAAGACTGCAAATCTCTGGCACTGTAGAACTCAGCATGTCTAGTGAGAAACTAAGTTACCCTATTTTTCCGTGTATAAAATGACACTTTTTCCTAAAATAATTCGAGGAAAATTTGAGTGTCGTTTTATATACGGAAGGCAGCAGCAGTCTGATTGCCTCCGCCTCCTGCCAGGGCTTATCTCCAGCTCATCTCACCGCCTTGTCCCCTGCCCGAAGAAGACAAGCACTGGAGGGGGCAATGCGGTGGTGGCGGCAGAAGTCAATAGGCAGCAGCAAGAGGTGACTGAATGCAGCTGCTCCTTTGCCTCCGCCTCCTGCTGCTGAGCCTGCGAGTGGTGCTGGAGGAAACTGCAGCAGGAGGTGGAGGCAAAGGAGCAGCCGCGCTTGGCCACTTCTTGCTGCTACCCATTGACTGCCGCCACCAGATTGCAGCCATGGCCTCCTTCGGGCAGGAGACAAGGCGGCAACATGAGATGGAGGCAAGCCCCAGTAGTGGCACTGGAGGGGGCAAATGGATAGCAGTGGCAGCAGGAGACGGAGGAGCAGCCACACTCGGCTGCCCCTTGCAGCTGTCCATTGACTGCTCCTCTGCCAAGGATAAAAATTAGGGGGTCGTCCTATACATTGGTGGGGTCATATACACGGAAAAATATGGTACACTTCACTTAATGGTATTTGCTGTTTCACAAGTGATTACAGTGGGCTTACTTTGCAGGATGATACATTTATTTTTTATTTAGAAAAAAAATACTTTCAATATCAAAGTGGTAAAAATCTTTATTGAGAACCAGGTCTACAAGGTCATTGAAACTTTTTACAATTTATACAAGCCACATAACTCAGGAACTCTAAATTAATTTTACTTTTAACTCCTATGCAGACATAGCCCCTGCCCCACCCCACCTTTAGGAATAAGCAGCTAACACTCCAGTGCCAAACATATGGACATCAGAATAGGTCTCGCTGAACTCGGTGGAACTTACTTTCAAGTAGATATATACAGGGATGCACATCAAGATTCCTGCTTTATTTCATTGTATATTTCTGCACTGAACAGCACCACGATAGTAAAATCAGAACACCTTTGCCAGTGCTTACCCTCTCACCATCCCTGAATATACATATATCTATATGTGTGTGTGTATATATATGTGTGTATGTGAGGATAGACAGTGAGGATATATGAGGCTGTCTATCCTCACACTGATTCCTAGAGAGGATTAAGAAACAGGAGATTCTCAGGGTCTTCTTAGCTTTTTCTATGGAACTGTTTGGCTCTGTGAGATAAGAAGCCCAGGTTACACCGACTTTTGGTCTGATCCACCAGGTGTATTTCTGCCATTTTTTAAAAAGAGATGTCTAAAACTTTTAAAAATACAATTAAAAAAAAAAAAGCCAACCAGGGCCTTCACTGTGGAAAAACACAACATAACACAACACAACACAACCCAAGATTGGAGGAGATCCCAGAAAGCAGAATCGGAAGTGGCTGGAGGCAGGAAAAGAGAAGAGAGGTGTAGTGTGTGCCTGGAATCGCCAAATCAAAGGGTTGCGACCAGGATAGGGTGTCACACCCAGTCCAAAAGATGCCCACCAACCTACCCTGACCTTTGTAGCTACAGCACCCTTGACAGAGTGATGCCTGGATATCTCCTCTGTTCTTTTACCCAAGGATGGCTCACCATGAGGGAGGCTCCTAGGACCAGCTGAGGCTGCAAGCCTCAAAAAAAATGTTATTTTCAACAAGTTCAGACCAGCAAGTTCACTCCCAGTTTCAATTTTAAAAATGGAGAACCCTTGAAAAACACATTCGCAACCTTGGGTTCCCCCAGGTGTTCTTGGACTACAACTCCCAGAAGCCTTCATTTGCTATGCTGGCCAGGATTTCTGGGAAGGCAGTCCAAGAACACCGGGGTGACCCCAAAGCTGGGAACCACTGGCTTAAAATGTTGTCATCAAAGCAAGGCTGTGTCTGGCTATGAACAAAGAGCTGCCATTCTTGACATCATCTTTAAAACTTGTGGAAGACAAAGAACTGAGAATCGTTGGATGCAGAAGATGGTAGGGATTTGTTCTCTGTCGCTCCCGAAGGCGGGAATAAAGGAAAGCAGATTTTGGCAGGACGTTAGGAGGAACTGCCAGTCAGTGGAACAGCCTGCCTCAGGAGGCAATTAAGTTCTCCTTCACGGCAATATTTAAGCTGCCTCCTGCATTCAGGAACAAAAAAAGGACAAGAAAAGGACCTCTAGGTCAACCGTAGCGCTTAAGTCCCATCCTGTTCATGGATTAAAGTAACAAATACAGTGGTGCCCCACATAGCGAGGTTAATCCGTTCCGGATTAACCTTCGCTATGTGAAAACTTCGCTAAACGGAACAGGGAAGCCCATTGGAACGCAATAAATATCGTTTAATGGGTTCCAAATGGGCACAAAACTCACCATTTAGCGAAGTTTCCAGGGTCCGGCAGCCATTTTCGCGCCCTCGGTAAGCGAGGGGAGGGCGCAAAAACGTTGCGCGTGGCCATTTTGGGCGTCCGGCAGCCATTTTGAAACCGCTGATCTGTGGGTGTCGCAATGCGAAGATCGGTAAACGAAACGCTTACCGATCTTCGCTATGCGAGTTTTGCCCATTGGGGCCGACGCTATGCCTCCGCATTAGCGATCCCGAAAACGGGATCGCTATGCGGATTCATCGTTATATGGTGCGCTCATTAAGCGAGGCACCACTGTATGATGATCTCCTTTCAGCATCTGAGTCTTCTAAAAACTCTTAAGTATAGAGCATATTGCATCTTCTAACTTTTTCTGTACATCCTGTGTTCCTTTTGTCCCCCCCTCCCATTTTCTTCCTCATTTCTAAATGTGAATTAATTTGTACAGTGCCCCTCCCCACCGCAGGTATTTGTTATTAATTTAAAACTTAACATAAAACAATGCTTTACAAAAAATATGGATCGAAGATGGCTTTCTTATCTACCCCTTCCCTTGCTGTTTAAATGCATCCCAACACCCAGAAGCCTCAGCTGAAACAGTCAATGGGAATGGAAGATGGGCATTGTAGTTCAAGCAAGCCAAAGGTTCTCCACTTCCGTGGTAAAGGAACACAAAAGTTAGGGATTGTAAACTTCTGTTGGCACATGGACGCTCTGATGGAGGTCTTCAGAGCAGGTCCTCTGGAACCACTTTCTTCAGAGGTCCTCAAAAAATTATTTATTAATTGGATTTTTCTTCCAGATGAATCCTTATGAATTTCCACTCCCTCCTTTAAACTTTGCCTTCTAAAATCAAATCCAGTTCTGGAATGCATTTACTTCAATTTTATTTTTCAGATTTACAGAGACAATAGAATGGTGTCTGTCTCTTCCGTATGATACGCAACAAGAAGGAACAGGGAAGGAGAATAACCTGAGGTAAAACAAAGGACAAAGCCTTTGGAAATTCTGTATCTAGCAGGCTGCCAATGCTCAGTTTTCAGCTAATTTGGAAACAAAATAAATAATTCTTACACACGAGTGCAATGGTGGAGGGGGGAAAACAACAACCCAAAGACTGTTCATGAACATTCCAACTGCTCGGAGCCGTGTCACCACACAAAACTCACGTGCTGTTGGAAGATTCCTCACTTATCCCCATCCCTGCCCTCACTCACTATACCTGCCCCACTCCTGCCTGAGCGGCATCCATCAGCAGCTGGTCCTTCTCTGGAGAAAGAGGTAGACATGATCCATTGGCCTTTGCTGTAGATTGAACCCCTGTTAAAGAGGTAGCGGTAGAGCAGACGCTGCGGTCTCTGCCTTAACTCCGACTCCAGTCCCAATGAGAGCAGACCCACGACCTCAAAATCACTGAAAGGGAAGTAACACTTCGATAAACTCTGCTGAGTCAATGGGTCTACTCTGGCTGGAAATACCAGTGGGATACTGGAACCCTCAGGGTTTAGATGGGAGTTCAGTAATAATAATAAAAAAGAACCCACTGTATTCACAACAGGTTGGTTAAGAATATGCACGTGAAAAAACACAACAGGAAAGGAGGGTGGGTATGACCTGGGTGCAAACAGGCAGGTACTTCAACCTGGTGTGGGAAAGGGCCTGAAAAAGAAAAGGGACGAGATCTAAAGGCCAGTGCAAAAATCGATCTGCGACATTCGCACACAGGCTTCTGCCTGTCCTTCCATTCCTTCTTGTGTGGGTCCATGCGATGGGTTTCTAAAGAGAGACTGTCCGGCAGGACAATTACGGTGCCTCGGTGGCAGACTGAGCAGGACAAAGGGATTTTCCCACACTCGGGACACGCACGGGTCGGCTAAAAAAAGTCAGGCGCTCTCAGAGGGCTCCCAAAATCATCTTTGCAAAAAAGAAACCCTCGGGCAACGGTGAGGTTTCACTCCCAGTGGTGGCTGAGTTGATGCCTGACCAGCTCGCTGTCCTTCGAAAAGCCCTCCCCGCACTGGTCACAGAGGATGGGCATGATGATGTTCTTCTTGGCATCCTCCTGGAGAGGGTCTTCTCCACCTGTGGCCTCTTTGGAAGGTGGCTTCTCTCCCTCCTGGACCGCCGGGGTGGTCTCCGACTCTGTCTTGCCGGGATCGGTCTCCCGGCCTTTGCAGTATGCAAACTTTTCCAGCATCGCTCGGACGGTCACTTCTTTCTTGACTAACTCATCTCTCAGCTTTTCTGCCAGCTTCTCTGCCTCCGCCTCCTTTTGCAGTTCGCTGGGCTTGTTGCAAGCTTCCGTGGTTTCGTCCTTTAGAGGTTCCTCAGGTTTGCCTAGCTCTTCGTCATCTTTCTCCTTTTTCGGCTCGACAAGTTTGAAGCCTCCTTCTGGAACTATCTCCTTTTCCTCCCTATTGTACCGCCACCGCTGACTGAGAGTAGCGATCGCACTCGTATCCCTGGGGGCGACGGCCGGGATCTGATCACCCTCCGGCGTTATTTCCAGCTCCAGTTCTTCCTCCTTCACCTTGATTAGCGGAAGCACCTCGTTTCCTGTGGGGATGGAGGGAAACAGAGAGGGAGACAACTGAGAAAGTATCGCTTCATCAGAAAGAAAAGAAATCCCAGAGGTTTCCCGGGCTTTTTTAATTTCATTTACGGCATATTTTGTTTCCATGAGCTGATCGAAAACCTGCAGGCTCTCTTGGGACCAAGACAGATCTGACTGAAATCCAAATGATTTAAACGACAATTTTAATTTTAAAAACTGGATTATTATTTTTTTACTATTTAAACCAAGAAAATGCTTTGGGGGGGGTATTAAATTGTGAATTTAATTGTGATTTTTTTTTAAAAAAAAAGCATTGATTTTTATCCATCCCGCTTGAGACTCTTCGATGGTAAAGATGTGGCATCTGGGTAAACACCAACGCTTCTCTCTGCCGTAATTTCAGTGGACTGAGATGCCGCTGGATAAAGAAGTCTTTCAAAAAGAGAACTGCTTTTGTAATAAAAATAAATAAATCGATCTATGGGGGGGAGGACAGCCAACATGGGGAAAGACTGCAAAAAATTCCCGACATGTTCTACGTACAACCTCATTGAATTAGGCATGCTACACATTGCCCTTTCCCCCGCAGCAAGCTGGGTGCTCAGTTCACTGACCTTGGAAGGATGGAAGGCTGAGCAAACCTTGAGCCCAGCTACATAGGACTGAAACAAGGTTGTGAGCAGAGTTTCGGCTGCAGTTTATCCATGTTGGTGGAAAAAAATAAGAGCATTCCTTACCAAGGAATGAAGGAAGCAAAGATCTCTATCAGACTTTAAGGCTTGCCACTTTGTGCAGATTCAGAAGTGCTGAGTTTGATAAGAAAGTTTTTTTCCACAATGACCTATATTCTCACCAGACCTTTCTTAACCTTTCCTTTGACCCAAATATATTTATCTGAAGTATAAAAACAGAACTCCAGTTTCACATTTTAAAAATCTAGACACAAAAGGCTATTGTTCTAGGTAAAGGTGAAGATTTCTACCCTGTGGGGTTGATTATCTTTTAGCAGTGTCTATTTCAACAGCAAACTGCCTCTAGTTAATAAAGGTGGCATTGATTTTTCTTGTCATATGTCCAGTCATGCAACCGCGGTGTGATAAGAAAAGTGAGCAGCGAGCTGCTGAAAGTTACACTCTTGGCATTACCCCATCGGTCCTAAGTCAGAGGATTCTGGATGCTAAACTGTAGATGGGTTGGACTCAAACGAATGGATTTAAATAAATTTTTTTTGATGATTTAAATAAAAAAAATATTTTTAAAAATCAATTTGATTCAAATCACCTCTGAATGGTGGAGCTGGAAGAGACCCTATGGATCATCGAGTGATTCTGGATGCTAAACTGTAGATGGGTTGGACTCAAACGAATGGATTTAAATAATTTTTTTGGATGATTTAAAATAAAAAAAAGATTTTTAAAAATCAATTTTGATTCAAATCACCTCTGAATGGCGGAGCTTGAAGAGACCCTATGGATCATCGAGTCCAGTCTCTCTCAAGGAGACACAGTGGGGATTCGAACTCCCAACCTCTGGCCCCACAGCCAGATGCCCAAACCACTGAGATATCTAGCAAACAGAACTGCATCTCAACTGTTAAGATCATCGGGATGGGTCTTTCCCTCGATTCCACCACCTTCACAGGTGCACTTGGTGGGGACATGGGTGAGGGCCATCTTTGTGGCTGCTCCCAGACTCTGGAACTCCCTCCCACTGGAGGCCAGGCTGGCCCCCTCTTTGCTGTCCTTCTGCAAGCAGGCCAAGACCTTTTTCTTCAGGCAAGCTTTCCCTGAATGACTAGCCAGGTTTTTTAAACACTAGAGTGGTCAGAAGACCAGATGGGCGGGTTATGTATAAACCACCATCACCACCACCATCACCACTGCTGACTCAGCAAAAAAAGAAAAGCTTCCGCATTGCTCCTGGCTGGTTTGTCAGCACACCAAAGAACTTCAGGGTGTAGTGAGGCACAATGGGTACTGCAGCACACACTTGGGAAGCTTGGTGTTAAGTGATTAGTATGCTAAATCATTGATTTTCATTCACCCTGGTCAGACTAAAATGAATAAAGTACACTTTTCCGTTCGAATACGGCGCCCACCTGCAGTATTTTCTGAAAGGTTGGAAGGAGAAGTTTCCTGGCTGCCGGTGTTTTCTGGAGCCTTATGAAGCCTCCTGTGCCGAGAAAGGTTTGAACTCTGGGTGAAGCTTTGCCCGCAGTCTTGGCATTTGAAAGGTTTCTCGCCCAAGTGGGTTCTCAAGTGGACCAGAAGAGTCGAAAGTTTGTATGTTTTGTGTCCACATCTGGAACACGTGTATTTCTTCTTTCCGTTGTGTTTTTTAATCTTTTCCTCCGGCTTTTTGTTGCCCTGGATCTGACAGGTTTTCTGGTGATTTGTGACGGCAGACTTTTGAGTGAAGGATTTGCCACAATCGGGGCATTTGTAGGGTTTCTCACGCGTATGGACTCTCTGGTGTCTCAGCAGATCGGATAAGTAGTAAGCTCGATGTGGGCAATCCGGGCATTTGTGTTTTTTCTCGAGCGTATCATATCTGCTTTTCTTTGACCCTTCCGCGTTTTTCAATGTCTCAGTGGCCCTTCTTTTTCTCTGCTGTACCATTTGATGGGCCTTGGTTTTTGACACCTTGCCCTTTGGAGCAGCAGGACGGCCAGATTTTCCTGCTGATTTTTTGGCCAGAACATTAATCAACTCCTCATCATCTGCAGAAACAGAGAGACCCCTTCAGATAATCAAGCAAGCTGCTCAGGAGAATGCAAGAACCCCCCAACTGCCCCCAAATCTCCTGCTTTAGCCCTGTGTGACGTTCAGGATGGAACCTGCCACAAATGTTCAAACTTGCCTTCAAAAATGGCGAGACTGAAGGGGAATGGCTTTCTGAATGCTGTTGAACTACAACTTCCATCATGCTTCACAGGCTTGGGTTAACAGAAGCTGTAGTACAAGAATATCTCCCTTATTTTAAGTACAGTAGAACCTCAGGGGATTCCAAGCCTCCCTGCATATGGCAAAAACCTATTGTGTAGGGCAGTGTTCCCCAACCTTTTCTGGTCCGCGGACCAGCTGGAGAAGGCAGTGCACCCCTGCGCTCATGCACATGCGTGAACAAGCACACTCACTCTTGCAAGGGGGCTTATACTTTCAATATATTATCACCTTTATATAATTTTTGGTAAAATGCTTGTAATATTACTAGTTTTTCCTTTATCAGGCTACAATTCTTTCCTGTTTTATCTCTGATCACTCCAATAGTGTTTTTTAGGTTTTTAGTTTGAGCTACCCTAGCTAAAAGCTTTGCATTTTTATTACTGTATTCAAAAAAACTTCTCTTCGAGTATATCAAATCCCTCTGAACCTTTTCTAACTATGTTTTTTGGTCTCTCCTTTGAGCTAGAATCTCTAATTTCTTCTTATCTCTATAAAATATTTACTTTCTAAATCTTTTAATGATTCTTCTATCTATCTATCTATCTATCTATCTATCTATCTATCTATCTATCTATCTATCTATCTATCTATCTATCTATCTATCTATCTATCTATCTATCACTGCATAATTCTCTTATCGCAATTCCTCTCATAACTGCTTTCAACACTCCTATTTTACTCCTGCCTGCTTCATTTACGGACCATATTTCTATCCACTCTTTCTTAGCTCTATCCATTACATCTGAAAAATATTGGAATCTATTCATCTTCTAGCTTCTCTACAATCTTTCTTAACTTTCATCTCCATCATCATCAACACATAATCTGTTATTTTTATCACATTAATATTTGTATCTACTATTTAGCACAAGATAAAATGAAATCTAGAATTAAACAGCGGTTCTGGTGGCTGGGCCTAGACAGGGGGATCTGCTAGACCTGCCCGGAGTGCCAAAAGGCCCAAGCCAAACCTCGTCCGGGCGCGCCTCTGATACCCATGCCACTGATAGACCAGTAATTTCAAAGAATAGGTACAGATATTATGGGACCCTTAATGAAGTCTGCAGGAGGTCATACACATGTATTGGTAATCATAGATTATGTGACACGCTACCTGGAAGCCACTACGTTCTACCACCTCTAAGGTGTTGGCTAGAGAATTGTTACAAGTCTTTACCAGGCTAGGCTTCCCAAAGGAGGTTCTAACAGATCAAGGGATAAATTTCATGAGTCAAACTTTAAAGGAGATGTGGCGGCTATTAGGAGTAAAACCTTTACATACGGCAGTATATCACCCGCAAACCAATGGATTAGTAGAAAGGTTTAACAAAACATTGAAAGGGATGCTTAGAAAATTAGTTATGGAGAAACCCAGAAGATGGCACCTATTGGTAGCTCCATTGATGTTTGTAGTCAGAGAAGTACCTCAAGAATCTACTGGTTTCACTTCCTTTGAAATGATGTATGGGTGGAATCCCAGGGGTATCTTAGATTTGGTGAAAGAGAAGTGGGAGAGTGGGAAAGATGAGTCACAAACAGTCGTAAAACATGTTATAGTGATGAGAGAACATTTACAAAGGGTGGCAGGGTTGGCGAAAGAAAATCTGCTTAAAACCCAGGAGGGACAAAAACGTAGATATGATTCTAAAGTGAAGATAAGACAATTTGAACCAGGAAAAAAGGTGCTCTTACTTATGCCAGCGGCCTCAGCTAAATTGTTTGCCACATGGCAGGGGCCCTACGAGGTGTTGAGGAAGGTAGGAGCAGTGGATTATGAGAATTTAATGCCTGACAAGACTAAAAAAAAAGATTTTTTCATGTTAACTTATTAAAGGAGTGGAAAGAGAGGGAGGCATTATGGGGAGAAGTGAGGGATGATGAATTTGGACCTGAGGCCAGCGACTATCTCAGAGAAGAGCAGAGAACTGAAATGAGTGATGACTTGGAGGAAAGACAAAAACAGCAGATAAAGGAATTTGAACTGCAATTTCAAGAAGTCTTCTCAGGGATGCCAGGGAATGCAGATTTAGTAGAACATGCTATTAATACGCAAACACAGGTGGTAGTTCGGTGGGGAAGTAGGAATTGGCCCCGTCATCTGAAAGACACCACAAATAAGGAGATAGAAGACATGTTGCAGCTGGGAGTGATTGAACCTTCAAGGAGTCCTTGGAGGAGCTACCTTGTAGTCGTCCCCAAACCAGATGGTAGTGTGAGGTTATGCATAGATTATAGATGATTGAATGAGGTGTCAAAATTCGACGCCTACCCAGGAGAGGCGGGGCTTGTCGCGGTGAAGCTTGCAGCAACAGGGAGAGCTCCCTAGAAAATGCTTGAACTGCTAGATCCGGGACACCCCTAGAACAAGGGGGTCGAAGGAGAGATCAGGAGAGATATCTCTGAAGCATTTGGTGATGACAGGAGGGGGAGAGAGTGGGTGGCGACCCAGTATCTCTTCTATCTGTAAGATTCACTCAAGCACGAATCGACGCAGGAGCCATTTTGTTTGGCACGAACCGTGAGTACCAGAAAAGGAGGAGAGCAGAACATGGGTTATAATTTGGAAAACTAATTGAAGCTTTTGATCTATGAACAGCCCCTTTAAGCTGGAAAAAAAGAGGTAGAGTGAAAAGAATTTGGCAAAAGGAGGAAAAGAAGTGGCGCAAGTTTGCTTACCAGTCTGCCTCTGACTCCTGAACTCTTAAACTGTCTTGGAAATAGCAGGCTGGCACACAGCCAAAAGAGAGACAGTGAAGGAAATTTGTTTGTTCTTTAAAATCCCAGAGGGAAACACCGAGGGATAGGATTTATGAGACTGAAACTTAGGCACTGCGACTCAATGTGGAAGAATTAGTCTGTGTGAAATAGGCATTTATTTGGTTCCTGGAAGAAGACGGGATGAGTTGCTATTTTTAGATCATGAGAACAGACGGAGGAGGAAACGAAACAGCGACAACTGGCTAGCTGGGCTGAGCAGACCGGAAAACAAGGACTGGAGCTTTACTTAATGGACTCTAGAGACACTTGACTTCCTAGTAATACTATATTGCTTGCTTAAATGGGACTATGGACTAATGGAAAGAAGATCAGTCGGATTATAAAGTGATTTGCTGGAGAGATTGAAATCTGGTGAGCTGAAATCTGGATGCTTTTGGCTGGACTTCGTGGGATCCTGATAATAGAACTTTGTTGACTCTTTGCAGGAAAAAAAGGCTAACTCTGCCATAGCCATATTTCAAGCTTTGGATTCAAGGTGGACTCATATGTGATTTATGTATGGTATATATATATGATTACATGTGATAGCATTGGTTTATGGTGAGAGGAAGAAATTAGGAGTGGGAATGATGGCACCAAAAATAGATAAGGAATGGTAGATTAATATACAGGAAATAATAACTTCAAGATTTCAGAAAATAAATGAACATCTTAACCAGATAGAAAATTTGATGAAAAAGAAATCATCAGATGTTGAAACACAGCTATGTAAAAATGTAACAACTACAGAACAGCCTCTATTGAGTAAGATACCAAGCAATATAGAAGGGGTAAAGAGCCATCTAGTGATCCATTCAATTACTGCAGCCAGAAAATGTGAGATTGAAAAATTGATGGTTGTGTTGGACGCATTCTCTTCTCCCAAAAATTGGAAGAAAGTAGAGTCAGCGAAACAAGAGGAATCTATTGAGAAAGTAGGGAATGAGATAGAAATAGATATCGATTCAGATGTGCTTAATAGCTTCCTAAGCCAAAAGAAAATTGAAGAATGGGATTTACCATACAAATGGAGATGGGTCTCAGACACTGTCGGAATAACATAGATGCGTTCTAAGTGGATAGTAAGTGGGCAAATGAATTACAAAAAAAGAAGAAGCTGAAAGTAGAATTGTTTTCTTGCAATATGACTTGATTGGATGATGACGTATTATGTGTTCTGCTACCCTCCCCAACCCGCATTCTCTTCTCCCAAAAATTGGAAGAAAGTAGAGTCAGCGAAACAAGAGGAATCTATTGAGAAAGTAGGGAATGAGATAGAAATAGATATCGATTCAGATGTGCTTAATAGCTTCCTAAGCCAAAAGAAAATTGAAGAATGGGATTTAACATACCAAAGGAGATGGGTCTCAGACACTGTCGGAATAACATAGATGCAAACTAAAATAAAGTTGTAAGTGGATAGTAAGTGGGCAAATGAATTACAAAAAAAGAAGAAGCTGAAAGTAGAATTGTTTTCTTGCAATATGACTTGATTGGATGATGGCGTATTATGTGTTCTGCTACTCTCCCCAACCCTAACCCCTTTCCTTCCACCCCCCCTTTTTGCCTTTTGTATCCTTAGATAAATAAAAATAAAATAACAAAAAATTCGACGCCTACCCCATGCCCAAGATAGAGGACTTATTAGAAAGGTTGGGACGAGCAGAATACCTAACCGCATTAGATCTAACAAAAGGCTATTGGCAGATACCCTTAAGACCAGAAGACAAGGAAAAAACTGCTTTCGTGACTCCCAAGGGCCTTTTCCATTTCTCCAGAATGCCATTTGGGTTGCATGGGGCGGTGGCAACATTCCAGAGGTTGATCAACAAGGTACTTGAACCTGTCAGAGATTTTGCTGGAGCCTACATAGATGATATCCTAATATATAGCGATAGTTGGGACGATTACCTGTGACATCTAGAGAGAGTACTGAAAGAGCTACAAAAAGCCAAGCTTAAAGTCAATCCCTCAAATGCAAAATAGTGTGGAAAGGAGTGAAATTTTTTGGATTCCAGGTGACACAAGGGAAGATCCATAGAGTTCCCAGTTATGTATCTTAGTAAGGTGCAAAATAGCATGGAAAGGAGTGAAATTTTGGGGGGTTCCAGGTGACACAAGGGAAGATCCAACCAGTGTCAGATAAGGTGGCCCACACCTCAAATGAAGAAGGAGGTGCAACAGTTCTTAGGACTAGCAGGGTACTATAGGCAATTTATACCTAATTTTGCACACATAGCAGCACCTCTTAGTGATTTGACAAGGAAGAAGAAAACTAATAGAGTAGTCTGGGGCAAAGAAGAGAATGATGCCTTTGAGAAGCTTAAAAGGATCTTAGCAGAGCTACCAAGCAGGCATGCCCCTGACTTTGAGGTCCCCTTCATTGTACAAACTGATGCATCAGGGGTAGGCGCAGTGTTATCCCAAGAAAAGGAAGGAATAGAGTTCCCAGTTATGTATCTTAGTAAGAAATTAAACCCAAGAGAACAAAAATACTCCACCATTGAGAAAGTGGCATTTACAGTAAAATGGGTGATACAAGCTTTACGCTATTATCTATTAGGAGCCCCTTTCACGCTTATCACGGATCACGCTCCGTTACAATGGTTGAATCTTATGAAGGATGTATACCCCCAACTAACTACGTGGTATTTGAGCCTAAAACCATTCACTTTTGAGATAAAGTACCAGAAAGGTAGTGCTCATGCTAATGCAGACTATTTTGCCCGACAGGGAGAAGGAATGACGGGCTCTGAAGAGAGGACGGCCCACTCGTCGCGGGCGGCGTGTGAGCGAGAAAGTCAGTGTGCCATCCTCCATTGAAAAACATACAGAAACAAGCAAAGGATGTGTGGTGGGGGAGTTGATTAAGTTGGATGATGAAGGGACAGGGAATTCAAAAGCGGTGGAAGTATTCCTCACAGAGAGGAGGCAGAGAAGAGGGAGGAGTCAGAGGGATGGAGATGGGATGATATAAAACAGGAGTGAAGCGGGGACAGATACCACGAGAAGACAAGAGTACACAAACAGACAAGACTGGTGAAGAAAGAGTGAAGAGGGGACAGACAGATACCAAGACTGGTGAAGAGTCGCTAAGTTAGTGAGAAACTTCCCTAACCTGATGATTGGAGGCGGATTATTGCCAACCCCACCAGAGCCACCTAAGAAAGACCAGGGTGAGCCAAGAGGGGGATGGAACTGGGGAGCAGCTTCGACTACTCAGGCTTTGGGGACGAGAGAGATCCCTTGTGGTTCCAGCCCTTATCTCCCCAGGTTGGAGGGGGCAGTGGTGAAGCATCCATGTTGCCGGATCGTATGTGGTGCTGAATGTACCAGCACAGAACGCAGCAGCAACCTATACCCTTGGAGTGAGGAGAATGTAAAGGAAGGAAAGAATGTTGGATCTGTTAAAGTTGAGTTATAAGATATTGCCAGAAATAGAGATGTTAGACCCGTTTGGTCTTGGTATTCCTGAAGTTAAAGGCAATAAACAATTGCTGTTTGCATCTGCTACATCTTCTCCATCTGTTCTACCCGCTGAAACACTGGGCCCGCCCCCTCTCTCAAAAGAACCCAAATCACAGTTTCATTCTGAGATTAACCCTTTACTGGGATAAAGTCAGCTATGACAAATGACAGGCTTCTGCTCTTTGCCTGGGAGGTCGATACATTCCTGTAGGACTCCTGGGGGAGGTTAGGATTCCTTATCAAGGTTCTGACAGTCAGTCATCCTTATCCCCATAGCGCAGATGGGGGAGAAGTGATCTACCTAAGGCTTCCTGCTGTATTCACAGCAAAGGTGAGATCTTACAGCCTGAACATCCCAATGTTTTGCTTAGCCTCACAGCCTCTTGTGAATTTCAATAAAAAAATACATAGGGCGGGTGAAAATAATTAATTTTAATGGGGAAGCATTTCACTTAAAGAAGAGAATATAAAAGAATCTATAATAATAGACATTCTGGATTGTGCTATATTAAATACTAGCTGGTATTGCTCAATGTAATAAAAACCTATTATGTTTTTAGTTCTATTCTTTTAATATGGTGAGCTGCTTTGGTTCCACTTACCAGGAAAAAGGCAGCCTAACAATAAAACAAACAAGCAAATAATAATTAGGACCTGCAAAACAAGATAGGTTAAACACAAGGGGCGGGGGGGGGGAATAAAGGAAACACACAGAGAGGCACCTACCGCTAAGTGTTACGTCACATTCTGCAACAGCGGGCGTAGCAGTGTCGAAACTGGAGCTGTTGGGAACTAAGTGGGAACTGGTGTCTTTGTGGGTCTGCCAGTGTTTCGCAAAGCTTGATGGAGACCGAAAAACTTTTCCACATGTATGGCATTTGTAGGACTTTTCCCCTATATGGATGCGGAGGTGTTTAATAAGGTCAGTGAGTGATTCGGCTCTGTATTCACATTTGGAACAGGGGTGCGTCTTTTTCGAGAGGAGCTCCGTGGGTTCCACTGTAGGCCCCCTTGAAGACGTTTCCGGGTTGATATTCTCCTGCAGAGAGCTCGTTATCCTCCTCGATGCTTCGCCATCTGCAAGGGCAGACAATAATTCAGTTCGCTGCCCTGAGGTCCTCCAGACCGTCCTGTTCCTACGTGTGGTACCCATCTTTGCTGAGCTTTGGGCCCTTAGAGATGAGGCATGCACCTTTTCTCTGTACGGCTCTTCTCAATTCTAAACCGAGGGTGGATTTTTAAATTTTTTTTTTTTATTTTTTGCCTTCCGGTTAATTTTAAGGTGACTCTAGAAACAATTCCTGAATAAGGTCTTGGGGGGGAAGGTTCCACCACCCTTTGATTTTGATAAGGCATGGGATGATATCTAAAGGAGTGGATTCCAACTTTGGGTCCCTTGATGCGTTTGGACTGCAATTCCCAGAAGCCTTCACCACTAGTTATGCTAGCCAGGATTTCTGGGAGCTGTAGTCCAACAACATCCGGGAACCCCAGGTTGGGAAGCACAAATCTAAAGATACAAGGCCTCCTTTTGCCACTGCTGCGGACCTTCTCCTACCCCTCTGTTATACGTGCTCCTCCTTAACACACCGCCCAAAGTGCCTGTCTCTAAACACTTAATGGCAACCCAAAGCCTCTATACAGGGGTGCCAGAGCTTGAGTGCCCAGATGTTCCTGGACTGCAACTCCCAGAAACCCCGGCCAGCACCGCTGGTGGTGAGGGAGTTCAAGAACACCTGGGTGACCCAAGGTTGGAAACCACTGCTCTATAGGATTTGATTTACTTTCTAAGGATGGGTTGCTTATCTGTGTTTCTCCAAGTGGCTCTCTGTGCACTCACAGCTCTATGGTTTCATCTTCTGAACCTGTGCATGATCCAGAGCTTTCCACTGAGCTTTTGGCAGGAACCCCTTCCACTTGACTGCACACATCCAGAAGGGTTCTCTCCGCTTCCCTCAGTTCTGAGCTCACCAATCTATGGCAGGCAAGACATCCCAGGGGGGAGGAGAAAGAGAGTGGCTTCTGTGAATGCTCAAAAGACCACTTGAGTTACAGGTAAGCAACCTGACCTCCTTCTTTATGGTCCCTGTAGACTCACACGCATAAGAGATTACCAAGGTTACCCTTGCAGGAAGGATGGCGGTCACTGTGCTCTAGACCAGCTGTGCTGGTCAAGATTTCTGGGAGTTGTAGTCCAAGATCATCTGGGGACCCCAGACCACTGAGCGAGAGTTTAGTCTGTAGTGGGAGAGGACCATAGCCAGCTGACAGATTTCCAGAAGGGGAAGACAAGGAAGGAGGCAGGGGAAGCTGAATGCAAGGGGCCTGGTCATAAAGGCAAATTCCTGGGCACCCCCTTTTCTGTTTGTTCTGTTGGCCCTTTGAATTGTTTCAGATTTCTGAATAATAGTTTGTTTCTGCAGGGTTTTTCATTTAATACTTCTAGACTGTGGATAAATGAAACTGTGGTTAATGATTCTGTGGATACGGGGGTGTCCTACTGTACTACCATCACCCCACCTCAGGCCTTTCTTCCAAGGTTCATTCCAGTTCTCATTGTAGTTGAGGGAGAAATGGGATATTCCTCATCATAGGCATCCTTCACTCTCGAGAGACTATGGTAACATGCTCTGTATGGAGGACTTGTAACAGCGTCTAGTGTTTTAACGCTGTACGCGAAGCTGCAGTGTCCTCTCCAGGGCACGAAGCCTGGGTAAAATAATATGGAGGATAGGCTGTTACCCAGCCACCAAATCCCCCCTCTTCACATCACTGAAATAGTCCAATGGAAATGCAAGAGCCAATATTCCTAGCAATAACATATTGTAGTGAGATCATTCTAGCTCAATATGCACTGGGGTGAAATGGAAAACACACAACTGACTTCAAATATATTTCTCTCTGCTTTTGCTGTGGATAGCGGAGATTCCAGACCAGACAAAACAAAACATAAAAGGAAGGTTGAAAAGGAGAAGGAAGATGTCGGAATCAACCAGATTCTCCTGCTTACCTCCATAGGTCTGCTCTGCAAGAGAGTCTCCGGCTGCCAGCCAATCTTGGGAGCACACGTATTTTTGATGTTTACGAAGGCTTGATGAATACCGGAAATTCTTCTTGCATCCCTGACATGTGTAGGGTCTTTCCTTTGTATGGACTCTCATATGATTAACCAGCACCGACAACCAGTTGGATTTGTACCCGCATTCAGTGCAACGGTGTACTTTCCCACTCCGAGTGTTCGCCAGTTTCGTCAACACAACCCGGAGAGTTTTGATCCCGCGCCGGAGGGGCGGTGCCTCAGGCTCTTCAGGTTTCCTCGGGCGAAGCCTTGAAACAGGATCTGGTTCGTTAACGGCAGGGTGCAGCGAGAGGACCTCCGTGAAATCCTTGTGGGGCTCCGAGTTAATCTCTTTTGGTTCAGAAATAACTGTAGGAACAGAGAAGCAAATTGAAGGGATGTAACGTCTTCCCCAACAGAGCAAGTGAAAGAGACTGGGGGCTTAGATTTAAATCAAACTGATGGAAATCATGACTTATAACAGTTTGAATCATCATTCATAGACTTGGTCTAAGCATGCAATTCCTCTTCCCGGACCCACAAAAAGAAATACAGTGGTGCCTCGCATAACGATTGCCCTGCATTACGACTAATCTGCTTCACGACGATCTTTTTGCGATTGCAAAACATTGTCTAAATGGGAAATTTCGCTTTGCGATGATCGGTTCCCTGCTTCGGGAAACGATTCTTCACAAAACGATGTTTTTTAAACAGGTGATCGGTGGCTTCAAAATGGCTGCCGGCTTTCAAAATGGCCCCCCGCTGTTTTCTAGGGACGGATTCCTCGTTATACAGGCAGCGAAAATGGCCGCCATATGGAGGATCTTCGCTGGACAGTGAGTTTTTACCCTATTGGAATGCATTGAAGGGTTTCAATGTGTTTCAATGGGGTTTTTAATTTTGGTTTATGATGTTTTCGCTTAACGGCGATTTTCCTGGGACGGATTCTCGTTGTTAAGCGAGGCATCACTGTACACTTCTTTCCTTGCTATAACCTTAACACATATGCTTATTTCACACAACTCAGAGATACAGATTTTCAGAGACAGGAGGACCTCCTTATCCGTGGGATCAGTATCCACTGATTCACTTATCCACAGTCTGAAAATATTAAAAATATTAAAAGAAAAATTCCATAAATATGTATTTCTAACAAAGTTATCAGAACTGGTCACTAGAGGGACCCATAGACCATCCTATGTGTAGCGTTCACTATCATAATAGTGTTTGCTATAATCTGCATCTTTTCAGCAGGTGTGGGTTTGGAATCAATATCCCATGGATTTGGGGTTCTTACTCTATTCCGCTCATATACTTCAGCTTCCGTTTTTACCCCTGCTAGCCCTCTCCCTTCCTGCATTTATCTCTGAGATTCTTCCCCATCTCCAGATAGATTCCACCTCCAACAACACACTGAAGCATGTTCCGTCAAGAGAGAGGGGTATAAATACATGATTCTGTCTAGACAAAGTAGCAGAGGGTCAGTAACCAGGATAGACACTCGGAAGGAAGTAATCATGGAAAACAATAAGATTCCAAACATGGCATGATATGGGGTGGGGGGAGAGAGACAAAAAGCTTCAGGACTGGAAGAATTCAGTTAAACAAGGGCTCTACAGAAAATCCTAGGGATATGGGGGGAGGGGTTCTGTGACAATCGGTGATTGTTGGAGGAATTTTAAAAAAATAGTAAAAATGACTACAAACACAGAAGAGCCCTTGTTTGTTTCATTTATATGTTACCTTTCTACTAAAATTAGGAATGAAGGCAGAGAGAATCAAAATGAAAAAATATTAAAAGTTAAAACACATTATTTTCAACAAATTATTGTAACCGAATTAAACACAGTGAAAAGCATAGCACTAAAAACCAACCAATATCTATCAATTAAAAATGTCCATAGCAGCCAGTCAAACACTAACAATTTGAATTTGCCAGGTATTTTGGCCGTGGTCATGTTGCCCGGGAGGACTTCTCAGAGGTATGTGCCCCCAAAATTAACCTTTCAATCTTCCTAATGAACTATCTGTGTATACAGCAGCCCACATGGGACCAATTAATGGACTAAATGATCATCAGATGGTTGCTCCACCACCTTGAGTTTTGAATTACTGTAAAAAAGATATTAAAGTTGCTATTCTCGAAAAGAAAAACTACAGAACAAGAATCCACAGAGAAACAGCTGAGAAAATATTTACACATGTTAGACAGCCATCTCAACAGATTAAATATTAGCAAGATTTCTTAAGCCATTACCAAATGTAATAACTATGCTGTTATCTACTGAGGTTGTCTTTCCCAACAAACCAGACCCACCTTTTCAGAAAAAGGCTCAAAGGTAAAGTCTGTTGCTCTCTACATTACCACATGTTGTTCCTCTGTGCTGTTTACAAAACCCGGCTTCAAAAGAACTGAGTACCAAAGAGGCATCAGAAATCACTACTAGGTGTGAAATGCAAACAAACATTGCTGCCCTTTCTCTTAGAAAGAGTGCTTCTCGGATGTTCTTGGACTGCGACAGAAGCCTTTGCCACTAGTGGTGCTGGCCAGGATTTCTGGGAGTTCTAGAACATCTGGGGACCCAAGTTTGGGGATCATTGTCTTAAGAGTCTTGCACAGTCTCAGACAGATGGGGCAAGGAATGTTTTCGCGTCAGGCGAGCAGACGTGATGCGAATCAATGAATTCCCCGTGACAAGAAGAGAGGTTTCAACTAAACATTAAGGAGAACTTCCTGGTTCTCAAAGTGGCTTGAAAGTAAAACAGCCTTACCTTGAAAGCTGGTAGACTGCCCTTCACATCTGGAAACAGAGGCTGTGTTGCCACCCATCAAGAGATGCTTCAGCCGTGAATTTCCAGTACCGGCGGAAGGTTAGACTAGGTGACTCTCAATACCGTTCCAAAGAACGAGGGCTGTAATGGCTAAAGAGACCTGAGTCTGAATCCCTGCCAGGCTATGACCACTCTATGTACAGTGGTGCCTCGCGATCACTCCGTTTTACGGCGAAATTGCTTTGTGACACTGTTTTTGCGATCGCAAAAGCGATCGCTTTGCGATGGCCCCTATGGAGAAAATTTGCTTTGCGATGATCGCGCAGACGCAATCATCGCAAAGCCCCCATTTTTGGCCAGCTGATCGGTGGTTCCAAAATGGCCGCCGGGAAAACAAAATGGCGACCACTGTTTTACCTCACTTTAGAGGCACCGAAAATGGCTGCCCCTATGGAGGATCTTCGCATAAGGTCAGTTTTTAAGCCCATAGGAACGCATTAAACACATTTTAATGCATTTCTATGGGCTTTTTAAAATCGCTTAGCGACAAAATCCCTTAGTGATGTTTTTCCTGGAATGGATTAACGTCACTAAGCGAGGCACCACTGTACCTCAAAAGCCCTCTAAGGCAGTGGTCCCCAGCCTTTTCTGAGTTGCACCCGCTGATCTCATGATTGAGGCATGCTCGCGGAGGGGAGCACTAGCTCCCATGTGTGGAGGGAAGGGGAGCCCTCGCAGGTGGGAGGGGCACATGTGCATGCAGGGGGGAGGAGATCTGTCTCCGTGGCCCGATCCTGCTAACAGCCAAGGACCGTCACCGGGCCGCAGACCAGGATTTGGGGACCCTTGCTCTAAGGGTCACTACAAGTAAGCAGCAACTTGACAGGACATCATGCAATGTAACCCTCTGGAGCCTACAAATGCTGTTATTGTATGCTGTATTTGTATGGCCTTTCATTAATTATTACGGCCTGAATTTTTCATATCACTTGATATTTTTTTTAAAAAAGCTTCATAGGTCACCCACAGACCGTATATTGATCCTCGAACCTTTAAGGCAAAACAAGAAAACTGAAGGCATTCTAGAAATCTGAGCACACCCACCCACAACGTTGAAAACCAGCTGGCCTCCTACCTCTAGACCTGAGCGGAAGGATTTCTCGGAACTTGTGGAGATTTCGATGCCTGGAAAGGTTGGACTGCCACTTAAAGTTTTGGCCACATTCCGGACATTGGTAAGGTTTGTCCTCCGAGTGGACCTTCATATGTTCTGTCAGACCAACCTTTGTCGCTTTGATGATCCCGCACTCGGGGCACTTATAGTTTTCCATAGTTTGAGAAGTCTTTGTCTTCCTCCCTTTCTCGCTGGGGCCAAGTTCGTCTGGGGGCCTGTGGGTTTTCTGGTGGTTCTCAAACGTTAAGAGCCCTTTGTAAGTTTTCCCACACTCAAGGCACTCGTAAATTTCCTTCGAGTGCTTGTTCATATGCCTCAGCATGTCGGAGAGATAATAGGCTCTGTGCCCGCAATCGGAACAAACGTGCCGCTTCTCCGGCGGATAAACCTTACCGCCTTTCTTTTTCAGGGTTTTCCGGCGACGTCGTGGGGATGTTCTGTGCTCCGCATTCGGTGGCAGCATTCTTCCAGAACTGAGCGGGTCTGTCTCAAGATCCAAGGAATCGGCATCAGGGAATTTTTCTGGAAAGGGCTCGTAAGAATTATCCATATCTGAATCCTCTGTATCCTCTGTTTTAATCTCACTTGGGAATCTGCCACCTAGTGGAAGGGGTGGGAAAATATACACAGAATCACTTCCTGTGTCGCTTGCAGCAGGAAAAGAGGAAGGCAAAATATGAGAGGGATTGACTCCCTAAAGGAAGCAGCAGGCTTGAATCTGCAACAGCTGAGCAGGGCTGCTGAGGGCAAGACATTCTAGGGATTGCTCATTCATGGGGTTGCCATAAGTTGGAGGCAAACTGACTGCACATGACAATAACAACAACACAAGAATAAAGTAGATTGCCATATAGGTTTAGATTTTAAAAAGGGAAAATACAGCAAATAAAGGAGTACGAGGAGATGTTGGCCTTGATTTCAAGAATGAAATATTAAAATGAAGCATGCTGCTTATATACTGCCCTATAACACTTAAAGCAGTCTCTGGGCATTTACATATTAATTACAGTCATGCCCCGCTTTATGATTACCCCGTTTAACCACGAATCTGCTTGACGGTGAGGTTTTTGCGATCGCTTTTGCAATTGCAAAACGATGGTTTGAATGGGGTTTTTCTGCTTTGCGATGATCGATTCCCTGCTTCGGGAACTGATTTTCGCTTTACGACGATCAAAAACAGATGAATGTCGAGTTTCAAAATGGCTGCCGGCTGAAGAAAATGGCCCCCTGTTGTGCTTAGGGATGGATTCCTCACTGCACAGGCATGGAAAATGGCCACCCCATGGAGGATCTTTGCTGGACGGTGAGTTTTCAGCCCATTGAACAGTTTTCAATGCATTTCAGTGGGCTTTTTTATTTCGCTTTACAACGTTTTCGCTGTACAGCGATTTCGCTGGAACAAATTAAAGTAGTCAAGCGAGGCACCACTGTACGAAGGCTACACATTGCCCTCCCCCAGTGAGTCGGGTACTCAATTTACCAACCTTGGAAGGATGGAAGGCTGAGTAAACCTAGCCGGCTACCTGGGGCTGAACCTTGATTGTGAGCACAGTTTTCTCCAGGCAGCAAAACCTTAAACAAAATTATAGCTCCCTTGGGCCATATCGGGATTAATCTACCACTCGCACCCTCTTACCTAAGAAGGTGCTGAGAATGGATTCTGCAGGCTCGGGGCTCGATGCAAAGGTGGCTCGCTGCTGATCCAGATGAGAAGTGGACTCAAATGGGACAACCGAAAGTCCTTCTCAAGAAGAAGAAAGAAAAAACAAACACAGGGTTATCAGGAGACGTAGAATTTTTCTGGACCTTCTGAAAGGGGAGTTGTGACCTAAGAATTATCATCACCTGAAAAAACAGGGGTCATGCGAGAAAGCTCTTTTTCTCTTTATACGCAAGAGATGCGATGCTCTACTTACTCGGTGCGGAGATGAAAAGGACTTGACTAGAGAGGCAGTTGGACCTAGTGAGCATCCAGCTGACGCCCGACTGTCCACTTAAGCATCCTGCTGGAGTGTCGTTCCTGCTCATCCTTTCCAATTGCACCCGGAGCACCACTCCAGGCAGGGGGCAGAAGGATGAGTCTTCCCACATGGCTGCTGATTGGGCAGAGAGTGGCACTCCAGACGTGATTGGAAGGATGAGCAGGACCGGTGCCGCCACCAGATGCGTGAGCGGATGGTCTGGCCCCAGGAGCCAGACCCTCATCAAGTCCAGCTGCACAGGGATATTTGTATTCATATATAAATGCAAATATCCCCATCTCTAAACTTAATGGAAGCCACATGAAACCTTCAAATTAGACATGTGCACTCATTTTTTATTTGTCCGCCAAATCCAAGATTTCCCCCCGCAATTGTTTACAGTCATTTTCAAAACAATCTGCTGTTTCTCAGCCAATCTTGGGAACACAGTTAACAGCACTTTCAAGTACTGTATTTTTCGCTCCATAAGACACAGCTCTGCATAAGGCACACCTAATTTTTAGGGGAGCAAAACAGGAAAAAATATTCTGGCAATTTCGGCCTGCTAGGCCCGTGGAAGGGGGGGCTGGAAGATGGCTGGGAAGGGTCAAAACTGCCACCTTCCCTTCCCAGCCATCTTCTACCACCACCCCCGCGGGCCTAGCAGGCCGAAATCGCCACCCCACCCCCACATAGACCTCCAGGAGCTTACCTGGCCCTCCTCCGCAGCTTTTTCCTAACTTGGGGTAAAAGAGCTACCAAGAAGCAGCCTCTTATGCCACCTACAGTTAGAATTTAAATTGCACCCTTTTTTACCGTATTCACTCCATAAGGCGCGCACACATTTCCCCCACTTTCTTTGGAGGAAAAAGTGTGTCTTATAGTCCAAGAAATACGGTATTTCATTCACTGAGAGAAGGGTAAGTGAATTGAAAACAGAATTATTTTGTAATCCAATTGCGTCATCTATTGAAAAAGTATAAATCCACGAACTCCGGGAAATTCATAATTGCTTTATTGCTAGTTTCAAAAATGCTGAGTCGTAGTCTTGTAAAATTGAAAGACAGTCATAACAAAGATGTATGTAGCCACAGATGTATGTAAAAAAGATGTATGTAAACAACTGGTGGTCAGCTTAAGGAGACTGAACAGGAACAAAGTGAACAAAGATTTGTATCGGGCTAGAACACATAGCACTGGACAACTCAGTGGCTTAGGTCTCTCGCTATGGAGACACAGGTTGGGAGTTCTATTCCCCACTGTGCTTCTTTGAGAAGGATTGGACTTGATCCATCTAGCTCTGCAGTTCAAAGGTTGTTATTTTAGGTTATTTAAATGAAAACCAGCAGGAGTGTAAATACATGTAGATAGAACAACTCAGGACGCGATATTCATTCATAACATGACAGTTCCATATTATGCCGTACATTCTGGATAACAACAAGAGTAGCACCAGCAGAAAATCAACAATGAACTTTACATAGATTATAACTGGCTTGGCTGGATGAGAACTTTATTTAGTAGATTTCTGTGTGTGCCTAAATATGCTAAGAGGCTGAATAATGTGTTTTCTTTAATACATTTTTACTTTTAACATTTTTTGACAGACACACGGACATTAATATAACGTATTTTTCTATGCATTTGCAAGAAAGCTTTTAAGGCTTTTACTTACCACTGATGTATTAAGAGGTGTATTCACACTCTTTTGTTTCCATATGTGCCTTATTAGGCTACAAGCATTTGCATTTTTATAATATCGCTTCCAACATTTCCACTGCTCTTTTTAATTCTTAAAAGATATTTTGACCTAAGTACTGTATCTGCCTGGAACTTAACTCCAATTTTCATATATTTTTAACCACATGTGCCGACAGTTCTTCTTACAACTTTAAGACTGTCTTCAATACAATGTCATTCATTAGTTCTTGGAAATAATTTTGTGGATATGAAACATAGAAGCAATGGAGAGGAATAAAGCTTGTAGAATTAAACAAGGTGAATTTGACTAGCTTTATTGCAACATTGACACTCATATAAATATTAATATGATTGTTTGGGATTGTATTAATTTCATTCTGGAAGTAACCCTTAACTGGGATAAAGGCCAGCTGTGATGCACACAGACTTCTGCTTTTATTCCTAGAGGCCACTACCTCTGGAAGACTCTTTTGGCAGTCATCAAACTTACATTTTGAGCGAGCCAGGCAGGAGAGATCAGATAAGCAGATAAGAAATCCAGAAGACCTATACAGTGGTGCCTCACGGTTAATACCGTCTTGCGAAAATTTTATTTTGTGAAGCAAGTTTTCCCATAGGAATGCATTGAAATTTAATTAATGCGTTCCTATGGGGGGGAAAAGTCAGAAAAAAGTCATTTGCCAGGTAGTAAGACTGAGTAGACCGAGCCACACTCCTCCTTGGTAGCCCCGGAACAGCCTCACACAGCTCACACTGTGTGTGAGCTCACACAGCAGAGAGCCGAACAGCTGACCGTCAGGAACCAATACAGAGGCGGCAGCCATTTTGGAGAGGCGGCAGCCATTTTGAGAGGCAGCAGCCATGTGGTCATATCTCAAAATGGCTGCCACCTCTCTGCTGGTTACCAACACTCAGTTGTTCAGCGCTAGAGTCCGGCTGTTCCGGGGCTACCAAGGAGGAGCGGGGCTCAGTCAACTCAGTCTTACTACCAGGTAAGTGACTTTTCCCCCCATACGTAGGAATGTATTAATTAAATTTCAATCCATTCCTATGGGAAACTCGCCTCGCAAGGCGAAAAATATTGCAACACCCGTTCATCTTGCGAATTTTTCATCCCGTGAGGCATTCGTCTTGCGAGACACCACGGTACTTAGTTTCTGGACTTGAGAGATGGTTCTAAACCTGAACCACTCAGAAATATTTTGAGAAATCAGAAGCCTTCTCTCTCAGCTTGTAGGCCCTTTCTAAAGGGAAAGAGGT